TTGAAAGTGCAAATTACTTCAGTTTGCCAATGAAATGCATCCTGGGATTGCCTTTTCATCAGCAGAGCATTACTGGGAAATCTCACCTGGAAAGGCCTTTTCCTCCCCTGAGATGATGTGCATAGTCACATGTCCTAGTCACATGTCTAGTCACATGTGCCAGTAATCCAGGAAGTGATAGGAGATCTAGTAATCTGCCCTTAGTAAACATGGCCACTGTCAGAAGACTGGGGAAGAAAAGAGAAATAAGGTATGCAAAGAATACAAATCCTGCAGTTGTGTTTGTGTTTGTAGATTGTCATTACTAAACATTTCTAAAGGTGTGTTTGTTGTTATTTTAAAGATATGGGTAAAGGTCCACTTTAAAGCTGCACCTTGTTTTGCAGAACCAATAGGGCTTTAGGGGACATTCTCAGCCAAAGTGCATTTGGAAGAGTAGTTTTGGATGAGGAGTTACAGAAATCAGCAGCCCCTCATTTACTCTCATTTGATTAATATCAGTTTAAAAAAATACTTTGCCAGGTGATTTGACTGGCAGAAGTAGTAGCTCCAAAACACTGTAAATTGTTGGTTACAAAAAAACTGTAATCGCTAATGCACTCTATTCCTCATCCTCATCGAATCTGGCTAGAACCCCTGCAACTGTATATAAGTGAATCTATCAGAATTGTTTGATCACTCAATTTCTGACTTGCTGCAGGAGCAGCCACAATAAAAGGTTGCTGAGAAGAATATAGCTACGCACAACTTTCCTTTAAGTCTCTATCTCATCTATCTAAAATTTACTATCTATCTTATCTATCCAATAATCCCATTGATCAATCCACTTGACCCTCCGTCCCCCCAATTTCTATATCCCACCAGCCCTTTACAAACTGCCTATGGCTGGAGAAGATGGAATTGTCTTCTCAGGAGGAGGACTAGCAGTGAAAAAATGATTAAATGAGCATAAGAAGAGAGGGTGAGTTTAGAGTTTGTCATTGCTCTTGAGGAGGCCATGATCCAGATAGAGGACAGCAGCCATGCAGGAGCATCATCCTTTGAAGGGCCAGCAGCTGGTGCTTTCTGCGATCTGGGCCCCAGTGAGAAGTACAAGGATGATGTCAGACTGCACTTGAGTGGCAGGGAGGGAGAGTAGGGCATCCCTAAAGAAGAGTGAGAGAGCAACAACATGCTGGAAGAGGGAGCAGTGGGATCACAGTGTACATCTGGCAACTGCCATCTGAATTGGAAAAAAAGCTAAACAGTGACTACCCCCAAGTCCAGGGGCATGAGCCCCACTTTGTCCAAACTCTTTGTGTTGCAAACTCTCTCATATAATCTAGTGGACATTTCCTGACATGAGTTGCCTCAGAGTGTCAGCTTTGCAGTTGCAATTTTTTTTTAACTTATGTTAATTCTTTTTTATTTTCATATTTTTATTTTGTTGCTGTGTTTTTGTGTGCAGTGATTGGGCTGCACACAGCAGAGTGCAGGCATATCTGCTTGCCAGCATGATCTCTCACCCAGGCACTCAGCAGCCAATGTGTACACTGCAACTTCTCCCATATTTAGCACAAAGTTCCTGGTCTGGGCAGTCCCACATTATCATATTCCCACCCACCATCACTTTTATTATTTTTATTATATAAATACTGTGTATTATTGCTGTTTCCTTTTGTTTTTTGTTATGGCCTTCCCAGCCCATGTCAAGCCCAGGTCAAGCAGACATGGGCAGGGATGGCAATTTTAAAATGTAAAGTTCTGTTTGCTGGAGCTTGCATGACTCCTGTAGTTTGTTCCATGGCATACCTTGCTGGTGTAAGCAAACAAAAATAAATAAATCTAAAGCTGAAGCTCTTTTTTTTGGAAGAGAACTCTGTGGCCTTGTTCTCACTGTCTTGTGTTTCCACATTTAGGCCTGTGCTTGTTATAAAAATGTGGTGAAAGAGTTGCCAATTTGCCCAAGACCCAATATGCAGAGTCTAAGGACCTGCCTGATATTCACAATTGCATCTCACAAGGAAGGATGGACTTTGCTGGAGTGTGGCTCCCAAGTTGCTGCCCTCTGGCCTATTAAGGAGCATAAGTAGTAAATGTGACTTTCAATAAGGTGGTTATTCACTATTGAGCTGAAGCATTAAGCCAAAGCTTTGGCTAATACTTTGGCTCATTTCCACCGCTGGAGCTATTCGGTTCAGCCAGACTGAAGGGCTGCTATATGGGCTATTCACAATAGCCCATACAGTAGCTGAAGGCACCTGAAGCACTCAGATAAGCCGAAGGTGAGGCTCAGCTGAGCCAAAAAATAAGTACCATCCTTGTCGCACTCCTTACCGATATGTCCCTTGAAGTGGGGGGGTGCTCGCAGAAACTGCGGATGGCACCACGAATGTCAGCAAAATTGTAGAAATGTCACCAGCACACCAGTTCTTTTAGGATAGCAAAAGCTTAATTTATTTAAGTTTTTTGTCATATGACCAACAAGCGCTTTTGGGACCACACAGGGCCCCTTCATCAGGCTTTAGCATAGCACAATGAGACCAGCCGTGATCACTCTGAAATCAGCCGTACTGAGCTAGAGTGAATAGCTGAACGTAATTCGGCTCTGTTCACTTCGGCTCAGTTATTCACTTGGCTGCCTTCGACAGCTTTGTGAATTACCCCCTATATGCTGCTGTGCTATTTGCCCAAACATATTCCACAGTTGTCACAATTTAACATGTCAGTGAAAAAACCATTGCAGCCAACAACAATTAGAAAATATGTTCTGTGAATAAAAATGTGTGGCCTATTATCACTGTAGTGCATGTGGACATGGACAGGCTGTAAAAAGGCTGCATGACATTAGCAGCACTGAAATAAAACAAAGGATGAAAAAGGGTAAAAACCCTTCCCCCATCCCCAATTATCTAAGATACACATCATTTTGCTACCTACATGACATATAGTAAGAGTTTACATCTACCTTGACAGACCTGCCGGTGCCTACACCAATGTATTCCTATGCAGTTTGTCAGCAGTAGTCCCCATGTTTTCTCTATCAGATAAAGCACATTGTTAATATGGCTGCTGTGACCTCACCCTTTTATAGTGAGGGGGCTGCCTTATTCAAAGCCCCTTTATTGGCCCTTCTAAGTCAGCTAACCTAAGTTCAAAGGCCAGGCAGTGCATTATGGTTACAAAGAATTAGATCTGGCGAATTTCTGCATTAATTTGCCAGAATCAAAAATTTTAAACTGCAGGATTTGTATCTGCATGATAACGGTGAATATAAAACTCCTCCCTATTGAAGATGTTATTCTTCTATATTTTACATCCTAGACACTGCTATGTTCACTCATATGATTACAGAATCAGTGTAATTAAAAGAAAATTGCAGATTATGCAGTTTGTCTTGGATTTGAAAGCATCACTACCTCCTTAGAGCAAAGGTGCTCTATTATATGCTTATGCTAACAGCTATACATGGTCTCTATGGTTTCCATGGCTGTTATTTGAAGAACAAGGGGTTACCTAGACAGGGTAGGAGATGTGTGTGAGGTCTGTTTTGGAATGGTTCTTTTGACATATTTGAACAAACTAGCCTATACCCCCCTTGTTAAGGAGGGCAACATCATGGGACAAATCTCCAGCATGCAAATGGTATTTCCAACACATTTCTGGTAGGGCACACCAAGTCATTTGAAAGCTGATTTGATTATAAACAGCTGTTATCCAATAAGATATCCCAAGCCATTTCAATCTATTGTCCTAAAAATGTCCATCATGTCAATGGGAAAGTTATCGATGATGTGCAATGTGCATAAGCACATAACCACCATAGCAACTGTGTCTGTAAGTTTCTTTGTGACAGTACAGAATGATTTGCATGGTCTATGTAGCCAAGAACATATGTACTGTATATGTACCCATTTTATTTTACAATGTATTTTGTGGTAAAATGCCACATTAGATATAAACCAAATTGTACATTATAAGTTACTTTTATACTAAGGAATGTCTTATACACAAATATTGTAAATAAAAGTTTACCCATGGTAGTATTATGTTAAACTTAAATATATATAACAATTATACTTAAAATGAAGGAACATTTCAGTCCAATGGGGCAGGAGTCTATTAGCATTACAGCAGCTTCACTAGGGTCAAATGACATGCAAGGCACAGTGGTGTGCAATAAACTATGACAACAAGTAAGAGATACACTTTCATCATTTCAGGGCTGGGCACTAGGTTAAGCTCTATAACCATAGCTACTCTACTCTACTCTACACTATACCTATAGCAGAAATCATTAAAGCAGGCTTCATATAAATTTACTGTTCTCTAGTACCCCCCTGGCCCAGCAAGGTCATGGTAGGTTCAAGTGATGTCAGCTCCCAGTCTGAATACACCCACAGCTCAAAATTCTAGAATGTGCAAATGTGATAAAGGAACAAATTTACCCAAAAAAGGATGCCAGGCTGACAAATGGGCATTATCAGTTACAACCCTGCAGATGCATGGCATGTCTGAGATTAATGATTGTGCAAGTGCCTGGACACAGAAGTAAACTTGGAGTTCAGTAAGTCCCAGCAGACGGAGTCGATTTAGGTTAAGAGGGGGACCCAACAAGAATACTAGGAAGTGAAGAGCCAGTAGAGAAATTCACAGGTAAGGACTAACCCATAGCCAAGTACTGAATGTCTGACAACGCCATGGACATGGACTGCTGAGCTAAAAAAAACACAAGACAGATAAGTCCTTGACACATTAGACTGACAACTATAAAAAAAAACGTATTTCTCATTTGTTGCCAAGTGTTACAACAGACCACTGTCCTCAGTTTCAATGAATTGTATATCAGTCAGTAATGAAAAATTATCCAGTAAATAATGCATCATTAGGAATTCCAGGTAGATTTTATGCAGAAAATACATTAAGTGATACACAAATAGCCTTGCAATGAATGTAGGTTACAATGTATAGCAATATTTAAATAATTGTAAAAGCAAACTATATTTAAGGAATACACTTACCAACACAGGGCAGGTCACGTCAATTATTTTATCAGGAGGAGCAGGCATACTGTTTATTTGCACTGAAAACCATACTTTGTAAGGATCTGACTTTCCACCTAGATGTAAAGTAAGTAGAAAAGCATTTCAAAAGCATGTATAAAGGAAAACATATTTTATCACTGGAATCTCCGCAAAGCTCAAATCAATCAATGTATTTTAAGGTGATGCACTTTGTACTGTACACACTGAGTAAAGTTCATTAAGACTGCCAAAAGGTAAGAAAAAATTAAAAAGCCACTAGCGGTTTTTATGAGGCTAGGACATGTCTAAGAACTGGAAGATGCTTCTCTCTAAATAAATAAAGGCCAGGGCTTAATCAACTACATGTCAGAATTATGGTTTAAAGGTCACAAAAAAGTAAATTCTGTTTCTCAAAATTGAAAAATCAAAATAAACGTTGCCCCTAAATGCACGCTGTTACGTAATTGTTTATTGGGTCTTGGTCTTATTTGATCCAGAAAAGCATAACTAGCAGCTACTAAAAAGCATTTTGATTTAACAAGCCAAATTAAAAGAACATAGCAAAACATAAACTCTGATCTTGGGTACTCTACATACATTAAATCTACATTAAATTAATCAGTTATTAAAAAGATATTGCAAAGGCAGACCCAATATCTAATATTTGACATAAGGCGATTATACAAAAGATAAAGACAGCTAGACATTTGTTTGTTTTTTTTTAAACCACCCTTTCTATGAGCTAAATTAGGTACAAGTAAATCTTTACTTTTGCAGACAAAGTCAATAGTTTAATCTAGAATTGTTCTGCCTCTTAAAATACATGAGCTTATCCAGGAATACCAATTGTACAATATAAATCCTCACCTTTGCCTGACAAAAAACAAACTTGTTTTAATCCTTCATATAAAAAATAAAGAAGACATATACAAGTGTCTGTACATTCCTTTTAAAGCAAGCAAGGAAATAATATTTAGATAAGGCCTTAGCTACTGAAAAAGTTTACTGACCTTTTGAACTTACTGATTTTTTTTTTTACTACAACAATAATTTCTATGAACATTTAGAAGCGTGAAATTAGGAAATGATTAAATAATGCAAAATCAATGACTGTTGTTACATTATACTTAAAGAGATTCTTAACACATAACTAAAGGCATTGACCATGTTAACACATTAGATGCATAAGTACAAGTCTTTTATTGAAGACACAGTAATAAACAAGGCTTGAATAAGCAGTTCTACTTCTTTATATTCCAAGCATCATAAAAATAACAGAAGTAACAATAAATGTAGTCCTGTGCAAAATAATAGGAAAGATAATAATTTAGTAATATTATATTATTCAGTTGCTCTCAGAGACAAAAACTGAATTGCTGGGCTTAACCATTGAATCACGTCTGTGTGACATTGTTTATTGGCTGAATTACATGATAAAACAGCTAATCACAAGCCTCTTGTACATCCAACAATATATAAATGTTAAAATTGCTTTCTAAAGAAGTGCAATTAAGGCAAAAGAGAGCTCAACGAAATGTCAAACAAATTATATCTATGTATTATAGCTATGCTTAATAGATCTGTAATTTTATTTTGAGCTTCTCATGATATATTGACAACAAAACCAAAGGTCAAATGTCTTGTTTGAGTAAGGAGAATGAATACAAGTTAATATATGGACATTGTAACTCATCGGGAAATTGATAATAATTTGTTCAAAGAAAAGGTGTAAAAATGCTAATTTTGCCTATAAAGCACACTCATGCTTCACCACATCAAACACAAACATGTCACCTTTTGCCATTAAAATAATGAAAATTCTTTGTAATTAGTATTCAGTGTGAATATGCATGAACAGTTTTTTTAATAATATATTTTGTGCATGCTGCTGGTATTGTTATACAGGAGGCTGGCTACATAACAGAAATGGAAGCCCTCAATTAAGTTCTAATGCTAAGCCGGGTTCTCAAAACTGCCTTAAAGAGCAGGTGACCTAAATTACAAGTGACTAAAATGACTCATTCAGTAGGATATAGTCTAGTCTACATTATGCCCTACAAAACAAACTCTGCTTTTGGTTTACTATTTCTTAAAAAAGGCTTTAAATAATCATGTACTTAATTTTAAACCTTTAATAGTAATCGTTCTAAGAGCAGATACCATAAAATGTGAACAGATACCATGGCGTTGATTTACTAACCTTATAAACACACCACGAACATGTATACACCTCTGTAGTGTGTTCCCTCCCAGCATGATCTATTGGTGGAATCTAGACACTTTTGTAGTGTGTACACACCCAGCAGGTGTGTTGTGCAAAGCCCTGCATGAATTACAAGGTGATGTTGTGTAAATTAGCTCTATGTTGTGTTGCTTGCGTTGATGAATGCAGGAATGTAAATGTATGAGCTAACCATTTTTGTCTAAACTGTGAAGCAGCATTATATATGCATCATGTGCATGATTTTTCCATATATGGCATTAGTGGAAATATGCTTTTAGAGACTTTTTGGTTGATAAATACGTTTTGCTGTGTGAAAATCACACGCACCTGGTGCGTGCGTGTGTTTAGGTTAGTAAATCACCCCCCATGGGTCTTATTTATAAATGGAAATATGGCCATGCCAAACACTTTCAGTTCCAAATATGCCAAAAAAACACGACATTGTGTTTATAAAATGGTGCCGCCAATTCTTAAATACAACAGGGAAGGGTGAAAGAAGTGCACCAAATTCATATAAGCTTATAAGGTGGAGTGTAGCCATGGAGAAATACGCCCACTAGATAATGGCGGGTGAAATGTAAAAAGACTGTTTAGCACAAGAAATCTTAAGGAAACTTATGGAAATGCTATAGTTCACAGAAAAGCAGTGGATGCCGCAAAAGTACGAGCAACAGAGAAATACCATAAAGAGCACTGAAAAGATGGCAGTCTGGAGGAATCATGCATACAAGCTGTTTGTCATAACTCTGACCTCAAAAAACACATGAATGGTCTATTACTTGATTTCCGTGTTAAATATTCGTATCTATGCCAACAAAAAGACATGAGCTACTGGTGTATGGGGATGTCCACAGTGCACTCTGCCCTTAAAAAAATACCAATAGCTGATTGGCCAATTTCTCTATAAAATTAGCATATTTTTAAATAATTTTAACAAAAAATGTTTTGGGTCATTCATCCTTTTCCATGCCTTTTCCATGTTTCTTTCTTATAACTAAGTGGTATTTTTTTCAAACGGGTGTAACTTGCATATTTAGCATTTTTTATTATTGTTGTTTTTGCTGTGGGGTTGTGGTCAGGATGTTATTATAGTTCAGGTTTCAGTGGCCACTGATATTTTTCCTTGTTTATTTCATCCAACAATAGATCTCTTTGTAAAACCCACAATCCAATGCTGGCAAACTGTGGACATATTATGCTGTCTTCTATGTGCTTTTTACAACACTCTAGTGGTATTTGACAATTTACCTAGCAAGCCGAATGAAATGCTTAACTCTCTTTTTTTCACTTTATTTTATTGTTCACGGTCTTAAAAAATGTTATATATTGTTTTGTGTATGTTTTGCCTTTTTTTTTTTACTTTTTTGTAGTGCTTTAGGTTTCCAAAACTGAAAAGACTAGTTACTCTGTACTGCTCCCAGCAGGTGTGTTGTGCAAAGCCCTGCATGAATTACAAGGTGATGTTGTGTAAATTAGCTCTATGTTGTGTTGCTTGCGTTGATGAATGCAGGAATGTAAATGTATGAGCTAACCATTTTTGTCTAAACTGTGAAGCAGCATTATATATGCATCATGTGCATGATTTTTCCATATATGGCATTAGTGGAAATATGCTTTTAGAGACTTTTTGGTTGATAAATACGTTTTGCGGTGTAAAAATCACACACACCTAGTGCGTGCGTGTGTTTAGGTTAGTAAATCACCCCCAGTATCTCACAGAAGTGAAATAAGTAAAATAACTCAACACACAGCCATTAATGTCTTAACCGCTGGCAACAAAAGTGAGTACACCCCTAAGTTAAAATGTCCAAATTGAGCCCAATTAGCCATTTTCCCTCCTCGGTGTCATGTGACTCGTTAGTGTTACAAGGTGTCAGGTGTGAATGGGGGTGCAGGTGTGTTAAAGTTGGTGTTATCGCTCTCACTCTCTCATACTGGTCACTGGAAGTTCAACATGGCACCTCATGTCAGGCTCGTCCTCGGCACCCCCGGCCGTGACGTCACGTGGCGCTCCGGCCGCGACGTCACGCGGGGCTCCGCCCCCTGGCAATCACTCGGCGTTCAGTCAATGTGGAACGTCGAGCGAGTTGCCTCCATTGTCTCCACTGAACCAGTCCGGCTCCCACACCCTGCCTAGATCGCAGCACTTGCTGGCACATCTCCTCGCTACAGCTCCTCTCAGCCACAAAGCAAAGAGACTGATCCCCACAGCTTGAACAGCTGAACCGCAAGTATCTGGGCTCTAGCTCTATATTGAACTACCTGTCAGTTGCCTGGTACTACTGCTGATAAGTACATGTTGAAGTTAGATGCCTGTGTAATTACTACTAAAGGGTTACATGCCAAATGAAGTGTATTGAGAGATACTGCTAAAGATTACATGCCTACGCTATATGCCTATCTACTTACGTCAATTCCACACAGCTGTTGTTAATTGGGTATAAGGAGCATTATCAGTAATCCAGATTTCACAGTGTTGCCCGGATGCACTGGGTGTTAGAGGCAGCCAATACAATTCGGGGTTGGGTGTCCAGTGATACCAATCTATAGCTCCTCCGGCTGGGTCATACTACAGTCCCATCAGGCCCCCATCACTATATTAACTTTCCTTGAGCTAAGGCTGGGATACATGATGTGGCATGTCTTCCTAGCGCACTGAGTGTGTAGGAAGTCGCCTGACTGACCGATTCCCATACAGCCTACTAAATTAGTTCCGCAGCTGCCGTCCAAGGCCACCATAGCTGCTTGATTGTGATACCTCATGGCAAAGAACTCTCAGAGGATCTGAAAAAAAGAATTGTTGCTCTACATAAAGATGGCCTAGGCTATAAGAAGATTGCCAAGACTGAGCTGCAGCATGGTGGCCAAGAC